CAAATAAAATCTGATGGAACACGCACTTAAAATCAGTCACTTTCATTGGTATTGTGACTACCAACTACGACGCAGCGTGTTGCTGGGCTTTGACGATATTATTCGAATCAGCGTGTTCTAAAAGCTTGATCTCGTTGATTTCAAAAATTTGAATGAATAAAAAGCTCTAAAACCTCGATCAAGCTCGCTGTTACTATGATCAGTGTTTGTGAGTGAATAGACATTGATTGCATGATCGAAGTTCTTTGTTTTTCGGGAAAAATTAGCATCTTCAACTTAGAATTCTTTCAAAAACAATCTTTATACTTGGTTAATGTTAGAGGCCTTGGTTTCACAAGCTCACCCTGTCCCTCATCCTCAAACGATATACGTGTTTCGTTTGACATGGAATTGATCGATCTCGTGTAACAAATATTTCCAACACAATCAAATGAGCAATCCTTTTGGGCTGGTTAACCGGAGCCCTGCTAGATTGTCTCGGATATATCCGTAGAAGTCACTGTCGCCAGGCGTGACAGAATTAATCAAACAGTTATGTCAGCAACGATCTATCAAGACAGAACATTGAGGAACACGTGGACCCTGTGTGATCAGTGCATTTTGCAAAATAAATCTGTCAATCTGTAGTTTATATAAGCACACCTGATCGGTAAATGATTGGCCGCCCAGTGGATTCAGAATTTCCGACAAATTATGTTAGCTCATCCACGTGAAAATGAGCACTAACACTTGATGATGGATTCAATCCATGAGGCTTTGTGGAAAACTGTGAAGTCTGGGGAGTACTTTGACATCACAGTGTTATGTAGCTCAAGAAATCTAGAACGTCGGTCAGATTCTATAGTTTATATATGGACGCCACCAATGCGTGATTGAGTTCTGGTCCCAATGAATCTCTTGATCTTTTCACAAATGTGTGCGTATTACACGGAAACATCTCGAAATTTGTGAAAAAGAAAAATTGAGATTCTTTGAAAAAGTTTTAAAGTGAAAATACTCTCTTCTTCTTCTAATTTGTTCCATAAAACGTACCCATGAAATAGACCGGACGATTCGGTGCAAATCGTGGGTTTCCATTCACCCAGGAAAACTCACTAATGAGTAAAGTGAATCGATCTGGTGGACTGATGGATGCTCGAATCGGTTGGTGCGCATCGCCAGTTCCCGTGGATTTCGTCAAACTCTGGGATGTGAATTGGTCATCTACCCGGCGTTCTGTTCGAACTGTTTTAGGCCGCCAATGGTCCGGCTGCGGGCGAGCAGAGATTGTGGTCAGATCAGGCCAGGAAGATGCGTTACGATTGGACGAGACCTTGGTGTCCCGACTCTCCATAACTGTCCGAAACAAATAAGGTCGACCGGAAGCGTGTCTTCTGACTCGCGAGTGATTGGTCGAGGAAGGACATTTGAACAGTAATCGAACAATCACTCGACTATCAAGCCACATAGAACAAGATTCCATTGCAAGACGCTCGTATGTCTGGGGAAATTTGTAAAACAAAAGGGGAGAAACCGGGAAAATCATATTGTGTATATGGATGTATTCTTTATACAGCTTCATGAAGACAGGATATATTACTATACAGGTATTGACCAAACTCGTGCAACATCCTGATTTTCATCACATTTTTTCCTCTCAGTGATTTTGACGACGGTTGCTGGTGCATCAGTTGTACTACTACAAAGCCACCTTATAAAACGTAACTAGAATTCATTTAATAAAATGACTCATAGACTTTATACAGTGATTGCACTTTCATCTCGCCCATGTTCCCTTTGCTCTTTTTGAGCACTGGAGGCAGTCGCTTTAGTATGGAATCCACCAAATTGACTGCCAAACAGAATTTGCCAGTTTCTTCTAATACACCCCGCTCCTCAAACCACTAACGACCACTGTGGAGAAAGCTGACTTATCCCTGTTTCTGATACAGAAAAATATTTTCGACTAAACTAGAGTCTCAGCCGCTGCGCGGTAATTGAACGAATTTAACACTGAATTTGACCCCTCTAGAAACTGCTCAAATGTAAAAAAATTATACTTATTTAGGTCCAACCTTTTTTTACCAGCAACCTCAATCAGGCTGATATACCAACCTTCATCTGTGAAAAATATGACCCGCGAATGCATGTTGCAAATGACAGTTATCAATAACCTCCCTTATCAGTGCAAGAAATTTTACTATGTCCATATTGGCGTATGCAAGATATGGTTTTCATTTGCTCTGTTAGAAAATAACTGCACACAGTTTTCAGGAAGCGAATAAGTCCTTGATGAAGTTATGCCACTCGAAATGGTACAGTAGGAGAAAACAGGACACGAGACTGTTAAACTGTCACCAGTAACAGGTAAACCGTTTTCTAAACTATTTCTCTGTCCCATCACGTTTGCTAAAACCAAACCAATGATGCGATCCAGATGTGTATGGGTGGCCGTTGGGCAACGCATGCGTAGCTCGTACGAAGCAAATTCCACCCTCTAGCAACAAGGTTCACAGTTCGAATCGTGGACAGGAACGGAAAAGTTGTTCGCCTCCGACTATAGTTCAAATAAGAGCTGAAAAGCCGCCCGGTGAAAATAAAAAACAATGTTGCGTAATTAACATTCTGCACAGGCTTCTGAATACTGAGAAACACATGGTCGTTCGGACCATTCGCAAAAATTTGATGGTCGAAGTTATAAAATTACAAGTGTTGTCGAGTGATTTAATATCACGAAATTGCTAGTCAGAGGTGAACTTTTGGCACTGTCCAAAATGTGAATCTTAGCAACACATGCATGCCCCCCAACCGCAGAGTCATAACAAATTATTTTTTCATTTTCACGGCATTATCAGCCTTCCCAGGCCAAAAGAATGCACCCATGACAGGTCTGGTGCAGTTTCTAGTGAAATGGAGGAATTCAGTCGTAACCGGATGCACTGATTTTCAACCTCGACCAGGGAAGTTATAAATGAAGCTTTATCAAATTTCCAGTTACCAAACATTTCAAGTTTTGTTTATTAGCCTGCTGTAGTGATTGCAGTAATAGCTGTACGCACTGACGACGAAATACGAATCACTAAAAACGAATCACGGATTAGCAATTACGGACGCAGCGTAAGCACCGGACCACGCTGGTACTTCCACACAATATACCACGTAACCGAGACGCTAGGAAAAGACCACACGAGTGGTATTTCATTTATTGAAAGAAATTAAGGAGATTAAATAATATGTAAAAAACAAGCGCATTGATCATCCAGGCCTCTGCCAATCGCGTTCTAGTATTTCTGGTGTTGTCGAGCTTCTGTCTGGGCTGAACAGTTTCTGATTGGCTGGTACAACCGACCTATGGTGTGCAGTCCAGAAGCTGTGACACGCATGCGTTTTGCTGACGTCACCCGTGAATTTTTACTGATCACAGTTGTCCTAAAACTGTAACCTGTCGCTCTGTGGTATGCCTCATCTTGCAGGCTAGGATCACCGCACGTAGTGTACATCGCAAATAGCACAATATGTTTTATATTGAATTCGTGAATGTCGCATCTCAACCGTCCTGTCAAACAGGTTCATGGGCTAAAATGTTATGCCGAGTTGCTCAAGTCAAAACAGGTGATCTTTCTCAAAGATGTACTACCGGGCCTCTGGCTAACCAAAATGTGAGCCGCAAGGTAGCGGGACGCAGAGTGCGAAGGTGGCACTGGACTGAGATCGGTATGTAGTCTGTACATCCACGGTGCTCAATACGCCTTATTGGCCAATGAAAGTGGTGACGATATTTACTGGCGTATACCATACTCCTCACACTGAAAATCTGAAACTTGAGGATTTCCACCTGCCTTGAATGAATCAGCTGTTCGAGGCTTCTCGACCTGGCTATGCTTCCGGATAGTTGTGTCTTGTCTTCTCGATTTAATGAAAACATTATGTTTGTATGTCGATTGTGAGCAGTCCAGTAGCCTCTCTGGGATTCGAACCCACTCATGGACGCCGCCTACGTTTGTACGCGTATGCCCTACCACCTAAGCTACGAGGCCACGCCGATAGCACTGATCTTTTCGCATGCGAACTACCCATCCAACTTACAGAGGTATGTGGCATCCACCAGTTAGCATGGAAGTTGACTGCCCCGACAAGTTTTCCTTAGAATTCACCGGACTGCACCGAACGAGCTTCTGAGACAAGAATAATTATTCAGATTGTTGTTTTGCAGACTTGAAGTTGGCTACTGAACTTTTCACAATCGACATACAAACTTCAAATCTGCCAAATAACAATTTGAAAACATTATGGACATGGAAATTCAGCAAATGGGATTTCTCCAGCAGATGTTTAATGAAACCATTCTATGAGAGCAGGTTTTTTTGAAGTCAAAAACTGACCTTGTCTACTCTCTGAAAACGAGAGAGCATCCTGAAATTCAACACATCATTTGCGACTGAATACGAACAACGTATTTACAGCCAGACTATCAGGTCCGATACTGGGATAGGCGCTTTGGTCAACAACAAAAACCAATCCAAGCAAGTGTGCATAAAATTATTTTAGTGTGGTTGCCTGGCATCGTAATGATCAGTTTTTGCCCTATCAGAGACCCAATTATGAATCAATTTCATCGTCAATAATAAACTGAATATCCATTTGAAAGGTATTAGACACCGTATTTCGTACACCATGACCAGAATGGTGATCGGCGGACAGTTCAACGGTTTGACTAGGTAATTTTTACCTCTTTAATAAAAGAGACCTGCGCAAACGAGTAAGATGCTTTAAATTTGGTGACCACAACAGTTGACAAAATAACTCACAACCAAATATATCACTATAGATCTGTTTTCACTCATTTCAGAGGTTTGGTTTCCCACCAGAGGTCTGTTATACGGGGATGGGAAAATTACATTTTTTCGATCGTATGGTTTTTTACGCTTGACAGAACACGTCACGCGAGCGCGTTGACCACCATTTTTTCTTTCCAAAAGTCCCACTCATATTTTCATCACATCCGGGACAAGCACATGGGTTAACTGTACCAAACGATACCTCGGGAGTTCGACTGGCGTATTCTTTCCTCGCCAACTGTGTTTATTCGTATCTGAACCGGTTGCGCGATTGAAGTAGTAGACACTAAAATCGGTAGTTTCACTTACTATGGTGAACGGGATTCGGGAAACAAAATTGACTGAGCAGGTTGGGAGTGAGTGGAGAGGAACAGAACAGTGCAGAGCAAAGCAGAGCAGAGCGGAGCATCCCGATCGCCGTAGTTGCACCCGCGCGTAAACGAACAAACAAACAGACAAACAAGTCAGTGGCGGGATTTTTGAGCTGGAAAACGGATGACTTTGCAAACAAAGTGTATAATGATCCCAGCCATGTCGGCCGAAAACAGTGTTGGTGTTCACGGATTGGTAAGGATGTATAAATATGTGAAAGCTAAATCGATTTACGACTGTTTGAACTGAAAATTGAACTTTCTGTTGGAGTTCAACCATGAGAAAGAACATAATTTTAAGCTTAGACAAAAGCCAGGGCTAGAATGAATGCGTGCAAAATTTTGTATGCACCAATGTATATGGTAGAAAGGGAAAGCGGAAGTTAAGCAACATCAGAAGCTCAGTGGCTTTCATTTCAAAACAAAATGGAGCACGTGAACTAGTTTTGAGGAGCAAGGAGAGACATCGGGAAATTATACAAGTTAGCAAAGAATTACCGAACAATGAACACCCAATAAACTTTAGCGAAAAGATGTAGTCTGTAGTATCAAGTAAGGAATGGTTATCAATTGTTGTGATTCTGTAGCGTCGAAACACTCCATTTAACTATAATGTGTTGAGCTTGGGGACCGGCACGCAAGAGGGCACTTTTTGTACGTTGTCTATAAAACATGTTTAGAATACTCTGTGACGTTAATCGGTCCGACATCCGGAGGCTCACCCACACAGATGACTAACCAAACACAGACACTGAAAGTAAAATATGCAAAGCGATTTGATGGGTTGGAACCGGGTAGGACACACCTGAGCACTCAAAGTCCTTTAAATGAATAAAGAACATGGGTTTCAGTGCAACAGACTGAATCTGCTAAAACGGGGATAAGTGAGTTAAAAAAACGTTTGATAACACTTCTTATTAATGTAAAGTCCACGGTAATCAACCGATCAGATGGAGCATTCATTCCACAGTTTTGGAATCGACACGTGGGAAGATAAACAGCCACCTAATCTCTATCCCCAATGTCAAAGCGCTCACAACACACCAGTCAACGCAAAGAGTAAAACAAAAATATTCATTTTAACTACTTGCCAAACAATTGCTCACTCATTGCTATATCGTATATCAGGGAGTGAGCTGTTCAAAAACGGCGGCGGTATCCATGTGGGAGTTCTAATCCCATTGGCGGCGGTGGCCTGGTGGTAGCATCACCAGATTGCAACCCCAGAGGACTTGTGTTCGAATCTCACCATCAAAGCCGAACTTCCCCATTCT